CCCTTGGCAACCACTATTGTAATTTTTTGTCTCTGTGGATTTACTTACTCTCAACTAGACATTTCGTATAAATGGAAACATTCACATGCCTTTTGTCTGGCATGTACCAAGATTTTTGAAGTATACTTTTTAATTTTTGTCTGATGTTTTCTAGATTTTAAAATTTAGATTTTTTAATCTTTCTGGATTTAGTTTTTTTTGTTTTTGGGTTTTTTTTTTTTTTTTTTTTTTTTTGAGACACAGTTCTTGTTGTTCAGGCTAGAGTGCAATGGCGTGATCTTGGCTCACTGCAACATCTGCCTTTGAGGTTCAAGCAGTTCCCCTGCCTCGGTCTCCCTGATTTAACCTGGCTCTGCCTTGGCCTGTGCCCGCCCTAGCCCTACCATGGCCCTGTCCCTCCCCTGGCTCTGCCCTAGTCCTGTGCTGACCCTGACCCAGACCTTGGCCCTGCCCCAGCCTTGTCCTAGACCTGGCCATGGCCCTGCCCCTGCCCTGGACCGGCGCTGGCACTGGCATGGACCCTGGCCCTTGCCCTGGTCCTTTGCTAGTTAAGGCCATACCCTGGCCCAGCCCTGGTCCTGATGCTGTCTTGGCCCTAATTTGCCCTGGCCCTACCCTGACCCTGCTATTCTGGCCCTGGCCCTGGCCCTGGCCCTGGCCCTGTCCTGGCCCTAGCCCCATTGCTGGTCCTGCCATGGCCGTTGTCTTGACATTGCCCTTTCCTGGTCCTGGCCCTGGCACTGCCCCAGCTCTGGCCCTGGTCTGAACCCTGGCCCTGCAGTGGACCTGCATGTAATCCCTAATAGCTGGGATTGCTGGCATGTGCCACCATGCCTGGCTAATTTTTTATTTATAGTAGAGATGGGGTTTCTCCATGATGGTAAAGCTGGTCTTGAACTCCCACCCTCAGGTGATCCGCCTGCCTTGGCCTCCCAAAGTGCTGGGATTACAAGTGTGAGCCACCATGCCTGGCTAAAAAATGTGTTTTAAAAAATGTATTACAAAAAAGAAAAAAAAATGTAGCTAGATGTAGTGGCAGGCACCTGTGATCCCAGCTACTCGGAGGCTGAGGCAGGGAGAATTGCTTGAACCCGGGAGGTGGAGGTTGCAGTGAGCTGAGATCATGCCACTGCACTCTAGACTGGGCAACAGAGCGAGACTCCATCTCAAAAAAAAAAAAAAAAGCTTATCATAGGGTTGAACTTTGGAAAGGATTTTCCATAAGAATCTTAACATAAAGATTCTTGAATGACATAATGTACAAGGTCTTTGATAGCAATGCGACCCAAAGCACAAAGATGTTTTACTAGTCTTGTTGGTGTCTCAGATTGGCTCTCGGTAAGTAATCGGGACATACTGTGAAATTTTAATTCTGTATAGACAGTTCAACTTAACAGGTTCGAGTGATACAGTCCAAATAGATGACTTTCTTCTGGTCTGGCTTAACATAAACCTTGAAAAATCTGATAGAGTAAATATTTAATATATCCTCAGTTCTTAACCACACTTCTTCCCCTTTTAGACAGCATCACAGGCAGGACACCCTTCCAGTGGTACACACAATATTATGTACAGTTCTCACACAAGAAAGCACATAATCTCAGTGAGAATGATGTTCTCACAAGGTCAGTGATACTCAGTGTGCACAGTTGTCCGAGTGTAGGTATGAAACCAAATCATTGGCAAGAACCCCAGTCTGATTATTAATAATAAGAATCTACTTGTGACACAGCTTTTCTTTGTTGAAACAAAATATTGTTTTGACATCATGGTTGAAACATTGGTCTTAGGCCAACACTCTCTTTTATCTGTTGTTGTTGCCTAGCCTTTGAGCAGTATTTTATGTAGGGCAAAAGGCTCCTTCCTGTCTCTTTGGTCAAAGCAAAGGAGGAGTACAGATGACTGAGAGAGTGATCACGCTGCTGTGCCCACCTGTGAGATAGCCCTTGTTCCTGGGTTGCGAGATATTTTATGGTCAGGGTGCAGTAGAAAGAGCACACAGGTAGCAGTAAAGAGAGGTTACCCTGACTGCAGCTCTGCCTCTAACTTCCTGAGTAACCTCAGGCTAGTCGCACAGTGACTGCTCCCCACATTCCTTTTTGTAAGCTCCAAGGATCGAATCAGACAGTAGCCTTTAAGTTTCTTCTGAACTTTGATACTCAACAATGCCAATGATGTTGGCAGCATGAGCTTCATAGATTATGGGCCTAGTGAAACATGAAAATACATGGCTCCTTGTTCAAAAATTAAGAATTTCAAGATGCAACAGCAGAGCATTGTAAACCAAGTGCACAACCCCTCTGAGACCAGGGCTCTCTGCAACTGCCCAGTCATAACCCTTGAAGACAGCCTGGTGTCAGCTTCCCATTACAAAGCTGATTTGTCACTCAGGGCTCAGAAGTTGGATCTTCCAGGCTGAAAGTGGGAGGAGAGCACATGCTATGCTAGTGACAGCCAGAGATAATACAAAGAGGACTTAACAAGGGCCCAGGCACAACACACATTGTTACACAGAAAAGAGGGCCACCTACGGACTCAACACAAAAATGACCCTCTGTCCACATCTCCTCTCCAGGTTTCAGTCATGGTAAGGACTGTCCCAGATTTCAGAGCCTTCAAAGAAGATCTTAACTCTGAAATCTGGGCAAAGTCTGGGGATAGCAGTTTGTGTGCCACCTCACTCTCCTGTGTCTTTCTCTCTGAATTAACATCTTTTATTAGGAAGCCCAGCAGAATACAGTCAAGAAGCATATAGGTGACTGCCATTCCCCTCTTGCTGAAATCGCAGCCACTTAGGATCAGCGTGATGGTGATCAGTGGTGGCTCAGGCCTTGAACATGTGAGAATAGACTGTGTTGTCAAGGCACTGATGCAACACACTTCTGCCTGACTTGGTGCATTTTCTCAGGTCTCAGCACTCACAGCGGATGCTCATAATCCTACACACAATCCCCAGATGTCAATGAGGATCACTGGCCAGCCATACCTCAGTGCATGGGGGGTAGTAGGGATATCCACTAAGGCCCTACCTTCCACCACCCAAATGCTTCTGATCAGAGGGTTGAGCTTGGGTAATTTTGGGATGCGTGACAGGATGGTGTCAGCAGACTGGCCAAATCCACATTCAGTATTTCCCATCATGAGATCTTTGGTGTCAGGTGACATTAAAGACTGAGAGTGGTGAAAAAACACCTCTGGTGAATCACTTTCCAATAGGCTGAGAATGCAGCTTTCAAATCACTTCCATTACTTGGCTTAAAGAAAATGGAAAGCTAAGTGAAAGACAGAACACAGGGCTGATGGTCAGAGGACCTAAGATTCCGCTCTCAATTCCCACTTACAGACTGAATGACCAAAGGGAAGTCATTTGCCCTCGTGTATGTCTGCTTTCCCATTGAAAAATGGCAATAAACTACTTGCTTCGTTGCGACCCTGTGACCAGAAAATGAGGCATCCTATAAAATATACATTTAAATATAAAATCACTGCCAGGTGTGGTGGCTCACACCAGTAATCCCAGCACTTTGGGAGGCCAAAGCAGGTGGATCACCTGAGGTCAAGAATTTGAGACGAGCCTGGCCAACATGATGAAACCCCATCTCTACTAAAAACACAAAAAATTAGCTGGGCATGGTGGTGAGTACCTGTAATCCCAGGTACTCAGGAGGCTGAAGCAGGAGAATCGCTTGAACCTGGGAGGTGGAGGTTGCGGTGAGCTGAGATCCTGCCGCTCTACTCCAGCCTGGGTGACAGAGAGAGACTCCGTCTCAAAATAAATAAATAAAAATAAAATCACTCTGCAACTAGTGGGTACAAGGGTACAACCTGAGTTTCTTTTTTTTTGTATGTGTATGTCTGTTGCCCAGGCCATCGCCCAGGCTGGTGTAATCGGCTGTCGGAGTAGATAGGATTATAGGAGTCCATCGCCATGCCCGGCTAATTTTTGTATTTTCAGTAGAGACAGGGTTTCACCATGTTGGCCAGGCTGATCTTGAACTCCTGACCTCAAGTTATCCACCCACCTCAGCCTCATGGGATTAGAGGTGTGAGCCACCATATGTCCCCATCATATTCTATTATTGGGCAAAACAAAATGTAAACCACGTACTCAAAACAGCAAATATTGTGGGTGACAGCGACACTGGTATTCAGAAAGATGAAGAAGTGTAATTAAGAAACCAGACAAAGAAGTAAACATGCCATGTAACTTTCAAAAGACCAGCCACATTGTGTTTATTTTAATATTGTTTAATGGTAACACCTAATAAAGAGAGCGTCATGATGGTATGAACTAAATTTTCAGTCATAATGAATGCTACAAAACTTAACCTCCCAAGTTTAAATAGGCTACAATGTCTTGGGAAAAATGCAAGAAGAATTACTGATAAAGGTGACGGTTTTTCACACCTGAAAATAATGTTTTTCCTCCAGCCTATCTTGATCAACAACCAGCAGCAACATATTGCAGTGGCATGTGCTTGTCACTACATGCCTAACTTACTATAGACTGAGGATCATGGAGATTTTGAACGTAACTTCCCACATGACAGGAGATTAAATAGGCCACATTGGAAAAAGGCAAGAAGAAGCTAGGTGTCTGGAGTACCAAAAGTAAACCAGCCAGTTCTAGAAGCAGGAAAACAGCAGAAAATATACTTTCAGATGGGCTACTTTCTCAATAGTTCTTGCTTGCAAGAGCTCTAGGGAACGTATGAGTTACTGGGTAAGAATGTGATAGAAAAGGGGCCAGCCTTGGGAAAATATGCAATGGAAGAAAACCAGTGTCTCCTCATTTACAACTGTCTTTCTCCTCTACCTTTGTAATGCTTCCTTTCTTGGGCTATTCCTTCCCCTAGAATACCCTGCCTGTCACCCCATGAGAACCTGCTCTTGAGATGGCATTTCTAATACCTATAATGAGATGTTAGATCAATGCCTTATCTCTCAGTGTGTGTATATACATATTAAGCTTTCTGTCTATGCTGTGCTTTCTCATGCAGGGATATCAGACATTAATGAACCAGTTAAGAAGATACTGGGATGCAGAAGAACTTTCCCAGTGTCCCGGGAGCCGTTCTACACAACATCCTACACCATGGCTTTGGATCTGCTGTGCTTCATTTCTTTACTTGTGAAAACAGAGTAACAGTAGCACCTGCCTCACAGGATGGTTCTGAAGATTAGAGGGTTCTTTCATGCAGAGCTCTAGAGCAGCTTGAATGGTATTGGTATGTAGAAATACTACTAATTTTTGTACATTGACTTTGTATCCTGAAACTTTAGTGAATTCATTTGAGTTCTGGGGGTCTTTGGGAAGAAACTATGGGGTTTTCCAGTTATAAAACCATATTACCAGCAAGGAGAGAAATTTGACGGTGACTTTTCATATTTGGAAGCCTTTTATTTCTTTCTCTTGCCTGATTGCTTTGGCTAGAACTTTCAGTACTCTCTGGAATAGAAGTATAGAGAGAGAGAATCCTCATCTTGTTCCTGTTCTTAAGGGAAGTGCTTCCAGTTTTTGCCCATTCGGTATTGTGTTAACTGTGGCTTTGTCATAGATGGTTCTTATTATTTTGAGGTACATTCTCTTTGATGCTTAGTTTGTTGAGGGTATTTATCATAAAGGAAGATTGGATTTTATTGAAAGCCTTTTCTGCATTGACTGAAATTATCATATAATTTTCATTTTTAATTCTGTTTATGTGTTGAATTATATATATTGATTTGCATGTTGAACCAACTTTGAATCCCAGGAATGAAGCCTTCTTGATTGTGGTAAATGAACTTTTTGATGTGCTGCTGAATTCAGTTTGCTATTATTTTGTTGAGAATTTTTGCATCTATATTCATCAGAGATATTGGTCTGTAGTTGTCTTTTTTTGTTGTTGTATCTTTGCTAGATTTTGGTATTAGGATGATGCTGGCTCCATAGAATGAGTTAGGGAGGTATCCCTCCTCTTCAATTTTTTTGGAATAGTTTCAGTAGAATTGTTACAGCTCCTTGTACATCTGGTAGAATTCATTGTGAATCCATCTGGTCCAGGGCTTACTCATTGGTAGGTTTTTTACTACTGATTCAGTTTTAGAACTTGTTATTTGTCTGTTCAGGATTTCAAGTTCATTCTGATTTAATCGTGGGAGGTTGTTTGTTTCCCAGAATTTATTGATTTCCTCTAGGTTTTCTAGTTTTTGTGCATAGAGGTGTTCATAATAGTCTCTGCGGATGTTTTGTTTTTCTTGGGTTTGGTTAAATGCCACTTTTGTCATTTTTGTTTATGTTTATTTGGATCTTCTCTCTTTGTTTTTCTTTGTTAATCTAGCTAGCATTCTATTGATCTTGTTTATCTTTTCAAAGGAACTAACTTTTGTTTCTATTGATCCTGTGTATGGATTTTTGGGTTACAGTTTCATTTAGCTCTGCTCTGATTTTCCTTCTTTTCTTGTGCTAGCTTTGGACTTTGTTGGTTGTTGGTTTGTTCTTGTTTTCCTAGTTTTTTGCTTAGGTGTGAGGTTAGATCACTAATTTGAAATCTTTCTAACTTCTTGATGTAAGTGTTTAGTGGTATACACTTTCCTCTTTATACTGCCTTTGCTTCATCCTAGAGATTTTGGTGTATTGTGTCTCTGTTTTCATTTATTTCAAAGATTTTTTTTATTTTACCTTAATTTTGTATTTTAGTGAAAGATGCATGTGTGGAAGAATAGGCTTGCTAAGGGAGATGTAATGTCATAGGAGACCATTTATTTTTAAGATCAAAGGTCACATGTTTGATTGTAGCATTTGTTATAGATGTTTGATTGGAAAAGAAGCCAGGGTGAAGATTTAGGAGAAAAGAAGTAATAGAGTAGAATTAAAGTCTCTGAGACTTTGGGGGAAATTTTAGAACACAGCCTGGGAATGGGCCATGGTTAGAGAGAGTAACAGCACTTCCTTTGAGATTGAAGGGGCTAAAAATGGATAAGTTTGGTAGAGATTGGTTATCTATGGTCTTTTGGGGGAGTTGATGGAGGACAGAAAGTGGATAACTAGGTATTGAGGGAGTTCATACATTGTTATGAATATGTATCAGAGAATTATAGAATATGAAACTGTAGCATTGAAAAAGACTTTGAAAGTTGTTGAAGATTGGGATATTGGTACCAATTCTTCATTTCCTGTGACAGTATATTGATACCATTTGCTGTGTAGTATTACCGTGCTTTTCTATTGGGGATAGAATGTAGATCTTTGAAAATGGGCTTTGCCATGTGACTTGCATTGGACATTGAGATGCTAGAAGATATGATGTGAGCAGGAGCCTTATATGTGCTTGTGTTTGGCTTCATCACCACGACTTGGACATTCCATGAACAGCCACCACTTTTTCATTCTGGACTCCAGAATGAACATACACAAAGCAGAACTTATTTCAACCCAAAGGTGTGGATCCCAATGAATACCCTTTAAGGAGATGTACCAAACAAATATGGGCATATAGGGAGGGCAGAGGTGGAGGTCATTTTCAGCTGGCAAGCAAGCTCATGAAGATTTAGAAGCCATTGAATTGACCAGACTCAGTGTTCCTCTGTCTAGTCACTAGATCCATAAATGTTAAAAGGTAGTGGTGGTCCTGACAGCAATTCTAACTCTCTGATCTCTGGATTGTAGTTATGATGGAAGTTCTTCAAATTGGCTAAGTGGCGGCTTCTAGACTTGTTGCACATTATTCTTCCTTCCACCATTTCTGTCTGCACTAAATTCTCTGTTTTAAATCTTTTTCTGCTTTAAATGTCTACAGTGAGTTCTGTTTCCTACATTGAACCCTGACTGACTCACTCTGTAATCCTTCCTCCTTCCATTTATTTTTGGTGTATGCCGATTTCAGTGCTACCCATAGTGTGGTCTCTGGTTGGCCAACTGTTTGCAGCCAGTTTGCATCAGGGTGTAAATTAATTTAGCCATTAAGCATGCTTTTCAATTCATCTGATTTATGTATTTGTTTATTTTGGTAGCAAGGCTTGCTCATAGAAGAAAGTAGTGTATTAGTTTCTATTCCATCACAGGTTCCTGATCTCATTGTGAATGGGTACTTGGAGCATCACTGGCTTACTCAAAGGTCACACAGAGTCCACATATTCTGTATTTTCTTCCTCTAGGCATTAAAATGGCTTCTTCTTATTTTGTTTCTGTAGATATTTCAGTTTTATCCCAGGGAGCACGTGTGTCCTGGCATTGGATTACCTCTCTGTAATGAAAATTATTTTTAAAAATTATGTGACTTTTTAGAAGTCATTTTTGCTTCTTATTTTAAAATAATTTTTAAGTAATTACTTCTTCCACTAACAAAGAAATGCATACCCATGATAAAAGTTCCAGCACTTTAATTAAAGTTTAAGCACAGAATAATATAATATGGAAAGAAAAAATTTATTTACCTCCCCAATTTCTTAATCAAATTATCTACGGTAACCATTAACAGTATTTTTATATAAAAAGCTGTTTGTTTCAGTGGAAATAGTCCTCGCCAACCTCAGTTAAGCTTCACAACTACAGTTGTGCCTTTACTTTCCTCACCCAACATAGACAATGTGAATTTTTTTATTGCATGTCATTGAGATTTTTATCACAATGACCTTTATATGAACCAAAGCACCAAGTAGACTTGGTCTCTACGCTATTGCCTCAGGATAGGGATGTAATTTTAACATCAGTTTTCGATCATATTAGAAATATCTATCTCAACAAGGCAAATGACACTTATTTCGTTCAAATGTTTAAACAATTCCCATTATGAGTAAGATATTGGAATTGGGGACCTAGATATTCAAATTTCTGTTTGAAATGTTAGCATGGTTAGACTTGAAACATAAATTATTTTAGCTACTTTTGTCCTTCTATTCTAAACAATGACAAAGTTTATTTCCATGCAAAAGACAATACAATTCCGATGATTTCCCTTAATAACTTAAAAATTGATTTAACAAATTTACATACTATTTCTTTTTGTTGTTTTTCTCAATTGAGAAGATACATTTCGATCTTCAGATGTGTGTTTTAAGTTAATAGTCTTGGTTTGGGTAATCGTAGTGGAACATCAACTTTAAATGTGTGGTCATAATCATAGGGACTACCAAAGTAATCATGCACAATATTACTTCCATAGGTTTGGGAAAAATGGACGGAATTTTCTGAGCTCACCACTTGTCAGCACAGAACGCTTTAAAACAACATAAAGCAAAATGTTGCAAAGTGTTTCAATAAAAAATAACCTAAAGTAATCAGGGGGAAAATATCTGCTTATGTAAAATACAATGTGTGGAATGCCTACCCTTTGAGAGTTCTTAAAGATTCCACCTTCACAATTTATATGATATTAAACACTGATGTGCTACGTAAATTGATTTGACTGCTATCCTTTTTCATTCAAAGATGCCCTGTTGAATTCTCTTTTGGCCCTTAGAAATGCTGCCCTGAAGAGACTTCAAGGTTTTAATGGAAATGCCATTTCCCATAAGAAAATTGAATTTTAAATCTAACTATCCTACTTACTAAGTACAAGATATTAGGCAAGTTACTTTACTTTTAAATGCTTCACCTTTTTTCTCTGTAGAATTTTGGGTTGAAATGCCCATCACAAAGGGCTATTATAAAAGTGAGATTGAATGATGGTATAAAGCCAAGAGTATGATGCCTCTTCCATAGTAGTTGCTTAGTTAAGTGTTAACTCTCCTCTTCCTCCTCTGTCTTTGGCCTTGGAGATTAGCTGAGATGCTAAAGAGAGAAGTCCTATGTTATTAATATGTATGTACTGGATAGTGAAGATAAATATCTCAGAGGTGAAGAGGCCTCAGGTTACAAAATCTGTGTTTGTGTTTTAACAATTAGTGGTGATGAACATGTTCTTTCAGTCCTGTTGGTGTATGTATGTAACATCACATTTGGAGAAAACATTAGAAGTCCAGATTTGCATGAGAATCCTGACTTAACTGACACTCTTGCACTCTCCATGATAGGCCCTGATCACAGGGTCCTTTGTTACATTTCAAAGGTGGATTTTTTAAAAAAATACCTCTATTGAGGCATCATTTATTTCACAAACGTCACCCACTTTAAAAAATGATTCAATTATTTTTAGCATATTTATAAAACTATCATTGAAATCAGTGTTAGAACATTTCTACCACTCCCAAACTCTTCCTTGTACCTATTTGCAGTCAGTACCTATTCTCACATCCAGCCCCAGGATAACACTAATCTATTTTATGTCTTTTTAGATTTACCTTTTTCAGAGGTTAATTTTTCTGGAGGCTTTATTCACTTGGATTCACATTGGTTGGAAGAATGCATGAGACCAGATTTGTTGGTAGTACTGACACAGTAATTGCTGTTGGCTTCCTGGTGATGGAAATGAGCTTCTTTGCAGCTGCTCTGGGAGCTCCCAGTCTTATTGATGAGAAATAGTACCAGAAACCAACTAGCCTGGTACCTGTATCAGTCAGAGTCCAGGCAGGAAACAGAAACCACTGCAATCATTTTAACAGAAAGAATTTAATATAAACAATTACCAAAGGGCATCGAATAATTGAAAGATAAACAGAGAGAATTAAAGTATTATAGAAGGGTGCAACAGCAGGAATTAACTACCAGCTCCTGGGTTGAGAAACAAAGGCAAATAATGGAATTATCACAATTTAGAAGTTTGGAGGAGGATCTCTCTGGGGGTGGAACCCATGAACTTGAGGGGGTGGAAACAGACAATTTGCCCTGATGCCTCTTAGTGAATGCAAGCTCGATTTAACTGAATTCAAATTCTGCTACTGGAACAACAACTGCTTCTGATTTAACTGAAGCAGTTAACTGCAAGCTAGATTTAACTGAATTCAAATTCTGCTACTGGGACAACAACTGCTTCTGATTTAACTGAAGCAGTTAACTGCAAGCTAGATTTAACTGAATTCAAATTCTGCTACTGGAACAACAACTGCTTCTGAAGTCATTGCTAAGATGATGCTTATAGTAACGGAAAACCGAAAGGAAACAGACCTCAGTGAACATCTTTCTTTTCCTCTGGCAGAATTTAACGGGGAGCAGAGGGCAAAGCAGAAAGGTGGTTCACAGAGCCTGAGATTGATCATAATATTGAAAGACACAGTCCTACAGGCTATATTCCCAAATGTTGAAACCTCAAAGATCAAAATCTCTAAAGTTTAAAATTCCTTGTGTAAAATCCTGATAATCACAGTGATAAGACAGTTGCATCATGTTAGGCGGAGCTATTACCTTGTTATTGTCCTTACACAGAAGAAAATGGATTTCAATTGAATCCCCAAACCATAATGACAGATTTGGAACTAGGAATGACTAAAGCTGCTGAAAGAGAATGTGAAAGTATTACCAGTAAGGTGTGTTTTTTCCATTCAGCCCAAAGCATTTGGCAGAAAATTCCGATGAATTGATTGATCATGATCTATAGCAATGACAAAAACTTCAGTTAAAAAATGCATCATTTGCCCGCATTGACATTCCTTTCAGCAGATGACATTTCAGGAACTTTTAATAAATTAAAGCCACATTTGTTGAGGAAGCCAGCAAAGCTACTGGCTGGTTCAAAAATAATTATATGCATGGTAGGATAAGACACTTATGCAGTGGTGTTACTATTCGATCACTAGTATTATTTCTGCCAAATTTATGGTCTATGTATAAATGCATGTAGAATGGATTTCTACATACCCAAAACAACATAGAAGCATGACACGGAAGGTAGGAAGATTTAATAGGGAATGTTTGTTTTGGTGTATATGGAATCATAGAAGAATTTTGAAAAGAGCAGCACCATGTAGAAAATGAATATTCTCTGAGGAAGGCCAAGTCCTAAAAGAAAAAAAGCAGTTGTTCATTGTGATACAAGGCTTCAATGTATATTTAATCATCATGAAATCCAGCCATCCCTTAGTGAACTGTCTCCATGCAATTGCCCATAATCTTTCCCTGTAATACACTATTTCATATGTCAGATTTCCTTTTTAGTTTTTCCTTTTCTTTTTCTCACTATTTTAAATTGTCAAAATATCTCTTACAATTTGCTATGCTACATATTTTATCTTGCATTATTTTCAATACTGGAAATATATGTTATGTAAGGACTTTTAGAGAGTTCTAATTTGTTTTATGCATTTTTTTTTTTTTTGCAAATTTGACTTCATGAAAGTGCTTTATCACAATGTGACTTTGTTTGCAATCTTTGTGTATGTATGTAAAAATGTTGGAACTTCCTCAATAAATGAAGATATGTCCATACATCTGCGTTTGTGTAAGAAACAATTTCTCAAAATCTTGGCTCTTCAGACAGCTGCATATGTGGTTGTGATTCATCACAATTTTTTCTGATCAAAAGACTTGGGTTTTTAGTCATGGTATTTCAGATGACTGTTGCTATAAAGCTGGGTATACACATTACCAACTATAGTGATATGTGTTTATACATTTCAATTTTTGACCCACAGTTCACCTGCTCATAACAGCCATACCCATGTGACTGTCATTGGTATACCTGAGTGTTTATGCTTGCAAAAATATGTATGTTATTTTGACTACTTTATTGTGTAAAGTGATCTATGAAGTGTTTTGTCATGTTTTTATATGTTTCTCAAATAAATCCCCTTTAAAATGCAAATAAATATCTTTTAAATAATTTTAAAATTATTTTTCCCAGAATTATATTTTCGGACTTGTGATCTTTCAGGATTTTGACATTTGAGATTATGGTGTTTGGGAATTGTGTCCTTCAGGATTATCAGCAGCTCCTAAAATCCACCATTCAGCCCACTACAATGTTCTATAGAGCTGATTCTTTAACCTATGGACCTCCAGTTGCAGTTTCCCCCTAGTACCTTGATACAAATCATATCTCACAGAATTAATACAAAATAAAAACTGATTTATATTTTTGAAATATTTTAACTAAACATGCATAATTAGATATGTCATGGGCCAAGTTGGCTGAGTTAATAATTCTTGAACAAGGTAAATGAGTTTGCATTTGAGTCAATGTTGAGATTGTACACCTATTATTCTGAATAAATGGTTATAAAAGTGACAGAGAGTAGCAATTATAAAAATTATCTTTTCCTCCTAGAAAATAGAGTTTGTATCTGTAACAAATCCATTTAAAAAAATTTGTTCAGATTTCCTTTCCTCTCTACGCATTCTTCTATCTCCATTCACCATTTATATCATATTCCAAAACAATTATAAAAATTATCAATGTATTACAGGTATTGTGCTAAGCATTAACAAATGAGATATTTTAATCCTTATTTTACAATTCAGGAAATCAAGAGTTAGGAACTATAAATAATTTTCACTGAGTGACATACTTTAAAATGCAAAATCGATTCTAAAATTCAGATTAGTCTGATTTCAAAGCCTGTATATTCCTTGCTAATAAATTTTACTTTAAAATTAAAATTTAATTTTATTACTGTTTTTTAGAGACCAGGTCTTGCTCTGTTGCCGAGGCTGGAGTGCAGTGGTGCAATTATAGCTCACCAGCAATCTTGAACTCCTGGATTCAAGTGATCTGCCCACCTCATCCTCCCTAGTAGCTGGTACTACAGGTGAATGCCACCACACCAGAGTAATTCAAATTGTTTTTGTTTTTGTAGAAACAGGATCTCACTGGTCTTAAACTCCTGGTCTTAAGCAATCCTCCTGCCACTGCCTACCAATGCACTGGAATCACAGATGTGAGCCATAGTGCCCAGCCCATACTATTTTTATGTTTATATTCTACATCTTGTTTATGAAGTTCCAAACACTGGTATACTTCAGTAGTTCAATGTCTCAGTTTTCCACAGATGCAGGCATTGAGAATCAAAATACACAGTTTTCACCTATTTAAAATTCATGCTTTGCTTGATAGATTTCTTGTTTGATCTTTCATCCAAAAATGCCAACTTGGAATCATCTTTTTTTCATCTGAGTTCAAAATTTCCTTGATATTCAAGGTTTCCACAAGCTCCTCATCGAGCTATCCTTAACAATCCAAAGGAACAATACACATTTGCTACCTCCTCATTAATACTTACCTATTCAAAGGCATTGTATTCATGAGTTTGGGTGATACATCCCTGTGTATGGTGTGGAAGACGTGGTTCCTCTTTAACGTAGTATCTTTTCTGAGGGAAGATAAAATGGATTATCTATCTCTAGGCTGTTCGGAACGTTCATTATTTTTCTAAACTCTGAGTAAATGAAAACTAAGATTTTCCACAATTACTTTTCCTCACATGTTTTCTATACACAAACTTCATTTATAATGCATCTTCCTGGATAGGTGGACAATATAAAGACCAACACTTTTTCACCAATGTTTTCAATCATCCTAATGCCTAACAGAGTGATCAATAAATATTTGTTGCGTAGGCACGTACATGAATAAATTATTTTCCCCTCTGTCAATTTGAAAAAAAAATTCATTTAATCTAGTAATACCTTACCTATCTGTTGTCTTGCTGGGAATACTGAAACTCAAAAATCTAAAACTAAAGTTACTGTATGTGTTTGTTTAGTAGGTGTAGCAAGTGATCTAGGTTTGCTTTATTTTTTATCACTTTGTCCATTTTGCAACTTTGTCATTTGTTTGAAAAGCCAATGCCAAACATTTGAACTTAAAGTTGAAATGTACAACTCAACAATAGAAAGGCAAAGGACCAAATGAGAAAGATGGACAATAGATTTGAATAAACATTTCTCCAAAGAAGGTATACTAATAAGTACATGAAAAGTCGATCAGCATCATTAGTCATTAGAAAAATGCAAATCAAACTACAATGAGTTCTCCTTCATACCTACGATGATGGCTGTAATACAGAAAATGGAAAACAAATGTTGGTGAGGATATTGAGAATTTGAAACCCTTGTATGTTGCTGGTGTGAATGTGAAATGATGCAGCAACTGCACAAAATTGTTTGGCCATTCCTCAAAAATTAAAAATAGAATTGTCATATGATCTAGCAATTCCACTTCTAGATATGTACAAGAGAACTGAAAACAGGTGTCCAAACAGAAACATCTATGTGAGTATTCATAATAGCATTAATAATATTCAAAAGCAACCCAAATGTCCAGCAACTGATAGATAAAAAACAATGGTATGCCCATAAAACGGAATATAATTCAGTCATAAAAGGTACTTCTATACAGATGGACCTTGGAAACATGCTAAGTGAAATAAGCTAGACACATAAAGCCACATCTTGATCAAGCTCATTTACATGAAATACCCAGAATAGGCAAATCTATAGAGGCAAAAAGGAGATTAGTTTTTTTTAGGTCCTGAGAGGGAGAGAGGAAACGGAATGGTTGCTTAATGGGCACAGTTTTTTTGTGTGGTTACAAAAATGTTTTGGAATTAGATAGTGGTGATGTTTGCATCACATAGTGAATGCACTAAATGTCACTTAATTGTAGATTTTAAAAATGAATTTTATTATGTATATTTCAGGTATACAATACGATGGTAAGGGATACATGTTGATAGTAAAATGCTTACTATAGTGAAGCAAATTAAAGTATCTACCATGTCACATAGTTTCCCATTTTGTTTTTTGTGTTGCAGGAACAATTAAAATTTACTCATTTAGCAAACTTCCAGAATACAATATGTTTTATTAACTATAGTCCTCATGTTGTACGATAGGTCTCTAGACTTGTTCATCTTACACGTTTGTGACTTTGTGTGCTCTGACCTGCATCTTCACATCTCCTCATACCCCCTTAACTAGAGTTTTATTCTCTATCTCTGTGTATGTGACTTTTAAAAACATTTTCTAAATTCACTAAACACTTTAGTGAATTTCATATAAGTGTGTGAATTTTATATGAGTGTGAATTTTACCTTAATTTAGAAAGATGAGTGAACAGAAACTCATTCAGACAAAAAAAAGGATATTTAAGACAAAGCAAAGGGGGTAACATGAGGAATGGAAGTGCCAACAATGGACTGCAGAATGGACCCATTAATAATATTAATAATAGAACAGGAAGTAAAACACATTTCTTCAGCTGCTCTGCTTTTCCAAGATCTTCAAATAAGACTTTTATTAAAAATCAAAGCCCATAAGGAAAAAAGAAGGAGAAGGACTTACTGTATATTGGAAAACAAATATGAAACACTATTAAAGATAATCTGCTTTTTCTAGTAATAATTAAACAAGCCCATATATCCTGGTCATTATGGTTGATGTCACCAGTGAACGTTTCTTTTTGGTTAAGTATTTTTCCCTCTTAATAATTTTATAGTCTTATTCACACATACTCACAAGAATTAAAATGACACTGATTTAAATGTGCAGCTTGAAGATATAGAACATATTCCAATCTAATTTACCTGTCCAGGGGAGACCAAGGTGTAGTCAGAGAAGGAGATGATGAAAGTGGTATTAAATATTTAAATTTTGTGAGTTTCCTTTCAAATCCTATTGCTTCATATTTCTGTTTACTCCTGAGCGAATGTGGGAATGCCAAATGCTAAATCAAAACTCCTGTTCCCCATCTGATGTTTCTAGTGTGACTATGGTGAATAGTCTAGGAAGAGGATTTCTGTCTTCCTGAATGCTTTCTCTAGAATCAGATGGCCCTTGGTATAAAGTGGCAAGAGCTAAGTGATTGTCTGAAATTGGATGATGTCGGAAAGCAAGGCTGGGGGCATAATGGTCATGGGCCTGGCTAATCATTAGTGCCTGGAAAGGTCAGACTGGGGCTGACATGCAGCTGGTATGCTTCAGGAGAGCTCTATAAATTGTTAAAATACCGCTTGATGGTAAATATCTGATGACTGGAGCTTTTTCAGTGTTCTACCACCCTGCTTATAATCTGGAAACCAAAGGTCAATGCATGGCTTCGCAGGGAGCCTCTAGGTCCCTGACCTAGTGCCAGCCTATTTCTGATGGGCTGCTGCCTGTGCAATACCATATATTAAATATTGTCTCTGAATGGGACCCACTAGAATTGAATTTTTAAGACCCTGGTGTTCCATCCTAACCTTCTCAGTTTATATGTTACCAAATTAGGAAATACATTGCTCCTCGCGTCCCACTCCATGCACCCTGGTGTTCAGGGTATCAAGTTTTGATCTTTAATCTGAGTAGAGAGTTTTGTTAATCTCTTAGGGCTTTATAATCTTCATAGCAGGGGAAAAAACAAATGCGACTGTTTCATGTCAAGCTAGCTGCCTAGGAATTCCGTTTTCCCCTTAGAACTAGGTTGAGGAAGAGGAGGGGTTTGAGAACTTTTAAAATCTTTACCCTCCTATCCCAATCACCAGGCAAAGATTCAAACAGTGTCTCTGATCAGCTTTTTTTAAAAAGTCCTTTCACTTCTCTTTGATTTATGACTTCACATTTCAAATAATCCTCAGGTATTAATGAAAAATTTCACACTTAAGGTATGCCCTCAATGGTGTTTCTTTGTAGTGGTTTTATTTTCTAGGAAACAGTTAATTTAATGCCACTAGCTAAAATCCTGCATGGAAAAATGAATGAACAAACAAATAATAGTTGGAACCTGTTATGATTTTTTTCCTAGTTCAGTTTTTCAATTGGGTTGGTTCTTTACTACTCAAAAGTAAATACGGTATTCAAGGACTCCCATGTATTGTGGGCTGGAAGTATTAGGTTGGTGCAAAAGTAATTGTGGC